AAAAGTTCTTTAGATTTTGGATACGAACCCTTTATCTGATATGTCATTTACAGGTATCTTCTCCAATTCTGTTAGTTGCCTTTTAGTTTTGCTGATTGTTTCCTTCACTGTGCAGAAACTTTTTATCTTGATGAGGTCCCAATAGTTCATTTGTGCTTTTGTTTCCCTTTTCTCTGGAGACATGTTGAGTAAGAAGTTGCTGCAGCTGAGGTCAAAGAGGTCGTTTTCTATTTTTTTCTTCTAGGATTCTGATGGTTTACATTTAGGTCTTTCATCTATTTTGAATTTATTTTTGTGTATGGTATAAGAAAGTGGTCCAGGTTCATTCTTCTGCTCTATCCTCCAATGGAGTATTACTCGACAATCAAAAAGAATGAAATCTTGCCATTTGTGACAACGTGGATGGAACTAGGTATTATGCTAAGCGAAATTAGTCAGAGAAAGATAAATATCATATGACTTCACTCATATGTGGGATTTAAGATACAAAACAGATGAACATAAGGGAAGGGAAGCAAAAATAATATAAAAACAGGGAGGGGGACAAAACATGAGAGACTCTTAAATACAGAGAAAAAACTGAGGGTTGCTGGAGGGGTTGTGGGTTGGGGGAGGGCTAAATGGGTAAGGGGCATTAAGGAGGACACTTGTTGGAAAGAGCACCGGGTGTTATACGAAGGGGATGAATCACTGGATTCTACTCTTGAAATCATTATTGCACTATATGCTAACTTGGATGTAAATTTAAAAATAAATAAATAAAATTTTTAAAAAAGAGAGAAACAGAAGAAAAAAGAATGAAATATTGCCATTTACAACAAGGTAGATGGAAGTAGAATGTATTATGCTAAGCGAAATAAGTCAGTCAGAGAAAGATAAATACTTGATTTCACTCATATGTGGAATTTAAGAAACACAACAGATGAACATAGGGGAAGGGAAGGAAAAATAAGATAAAAATAGAGAGGGAGGCAAACCATAAGAGACTCTTAAATACAGAGAACAAACTGAGATTTTCTGGAGGGGAGGTGGGTAGAGGGATGGGCTAAATGGGTGATGGGCATTAAGGAGGGCACTTGTTGGGATGAGGACTGGGTGTTGTATGTAAGTGATGAATCGCTAAATGCTACTCCTGAAACCATTATTATACTATATGCTAACTAATTTGGATTTAAATAAAAATTTAAAAATATAAAGAAAGAAAGAAGGAAAGAAAAGAAAGAAAGAAAGAAAAGAAAAGAAAAAAGAAAAGAAAGTCTTTTTTTTTTTTTTTTAGGGGCACCTTGGTGGCTCAGCAAATTGAGCATCTGACTCTTAATTTCAGCTCGGGTTACAATCCCAGGGTTGTGAGATCGAGCTTAGGATGCTCTCTCTCTCCCCCTCTGGCCCTCTCCCCAGTTCATGTGTTCTGTCTCTAAAATAAAACAAATAATAATAATAAACGGCTTTTTTAAAATAAATCACATGAAATTAAGAATCCTAGAGTTTAGGGACACCTGCGTGGCTCAGTCAGTTAAGTGTCCGACTTCAGCTCAGATCATGATCTCACAGTTCATGGGTTCAAGCCCCACATCAGGCTCTGTGCTGACAGCTTGGAGCCTGGAGCCTGCTTGGGATTCTATGTCTCCCTCTCTGTCTCTGCCCCTCCTCTGCTCATGTTCTTTCTCTTAAAAATAAAATAAACATTAAAAAAAAAGTCCTAGAGTTTAGTCATAAGGAATTTGAGTTTATCTAGTCTAATCTCCTATAAAAGAAATTCCTCCTGGAGTAGATGTGGAAAATTATTATGCATTACAACAAGAACCCAAAAAGCACTGTATGTTCACTGCTATTGAATCAGTTTATTAACTCCTCTTTGTTAATAAATTCCACAGGTGATAACAATTACCTGTTCATATGACCAGAACTTAACAGCTGTCTCAGGAGCAATTTTAAGGACATTTGTACCATTTCCTCTCCAAAGGGAGCGGATACCTCCTTCCTTCACCATCTGTCGAAAGCCGCCATATATGTTCATTTTGCCTGATTTTGAACCGTGGACCTAAAAATAAAAGCAGAGTGATACAAAATACTGGTGGCATGTTACTGTTACTATTTCTAAGGTAACCATACAAACCACCCTCTTTATTTCAACACTATTTATTACTGCAAGAAGATATGTTTAAAAATAGAATCTAGAAAAAATAAAACTAGAATATAGAATATAGAAAGCTCATAAAATATATAATGATGGGAAGAATTATTACCACATTGTAGAGGCTGATTCCAAATCTAAAACTAAGAAAAATCAGTACCCTTAGTGTGGGAAAGCAGGCAGACAGGACATGATCAAAATTAAAATTATTACAGACAACAATAAGATAACATGAACCAAAGTATGTATTAGACTACAGAACTGCCCTTGGAATGTGAACAAGTTCAGTTTAAGAGACTTTTAAAAATACACTGCAAGTAATATACTATCTCTCCACCCCCCAGAAGCAATACCACCATGAAATATAAATGGGTGTGAAAACAATTTTGTATTTTGTATATCAGAGCCATAGACAATGGAATGCACACAGCCTCCCACCAAAACTTAAAATACCTTCAATGGCTTATCTCAAAGCCTCTCTAGGCAACATGTACCACTTGCCTCACCCAGTGAATATTTGGTTTATACCACAGATGTGATCACTATTTAAATACACTAGACCTTATAACTGCCTCTGTATAACAATGACGAAATCTAATAAGCCAAAAACAGTTATAGAAATCAGCTCTTCTTCTGATCATTTTGGTTATGGTTATGAGTGGCTACTGAATGAGTGGCTACTGTAAAAAACAGAAAAACAATATGTGAAGGGCTGAAGAATAAAGGTCAGCCACGTGGGCAATATATGATCGATCCACAATAAAAACTCTGGACATCAAAGACTCAGGCGAACTTTCTTGGTTGGTTTGCAACACTGTGCATATTGTCATACATCAATGCTGGAACATAACACATGGCAACTCTACAGGGAGAAGAAAACAAAAACTCTGCATTTGGTGCTTTCCCAGACTTGTCCTTATATGCTTTTTTCCTTGGCTGATTTGAATCTGTATCTTCCTTGTAATAAACCACATCCATGAGTATTAAAGCTTCTAGTATATTCTGTGAGCCTTCCTGAATTATTGAACCTGAACGTAATTTTGAAAAACCCCAGCCACCTACCCCACAGAACTTGCAGGAAATAAAGTCCAGAGATATCCATTTTATTTTAAATGAACTTCACAATAAAATATGACAAAGGAAAAGATGAATGCTTATTCAAGCTCTCTCAAAGTCAATTTACTATCATTCCTAAAGAAAAACACAAACACCAATTCCTTCTTATTCTTCTTTAACGCACTATTTTTACCCCTAAATATATCTTGGGATTTAGGTACATTCTGAATGGATGCTGTTAAAAATATTGTCAGAAATGTTTTTATACCTAAATCTAATGACAAGTATAAAAAATGTTGACCACAGGTATGACAACACAACTTGTAAAAACTCATTTTTAAGCAACTACTATATTCCAGTAGGGTTTTCCAGTTTATCAGGCATTTGCACATACTTTAAATCATTTAATTCTTACAACTAGCCTTGTTAGATATTCTTAATCCCACTCCCAGATGAAGGAAAATGAGACCTCAGGGGTTCCATGCGGTGCGAGAACCACAGCTCTATAGCCAAAGATACTCCATTCCTTGTCTAATTTCCTATAAAGGAAAAATTATTTACTTCTCTGAGCCTCAGGTTCTCCAGAGATAATGTGAGAATATAATACCCACTTGCTATGAAGATTAAATGGGTTACCATAATGAGCACCAAATAAATATCAATTCCTTTCCTTTCTCCTTCTTTCCACTCTGATCAGCCAAAGCCACATTGCAGGTAAATAGCAAAGTCAGTCTATAAATCCAGGTCTTTTCTACTAACCTTATCTTTAGAATGATTTTAAAAATCACATCCCTGTTCCCAGATTCTAAAACTTAGAAACATTCCACTTTGAGAAAGTACACAAAACAGAAGGAAAATATAAATAATTTAAGGAGAATCCTACAATAATGGCCTAGAGATTTTTTTCTCATTAAACATTTGAAAAGTCATAGAATGCCAAAGACTAAAAGTTCATCACACAACAATTTAAGGTTTTACAGAACACTGAAATACTTACATGGCCTGAATTCGGGATTAATAGCAAAAATAGAGCTTTCATACTTTCTTTTTTAAGGTATGAAAGAATATTACTAAGAAATTTTAAAACTTCTTTTTCAAACCAGCACATTTCTCACTGTTTCAGAATATGTAGGAGAAACTTAGACACAAGATCATAAAGTTCACCTGCATCATGACTTTCAGACGATCCAAAGGGGCAGTGCTTGTTCGAGAGACGGCACCAGCAATACCTCCTGCCAAAAGCTGCCTCCACCACTGTCCGGACTTCTTTTCTTCTTCAGTGAACTCATCCGGAATAGTTAAACTGTCTCCTATGTCAATACCCTGTTAAATGGAAAGATCCCCATGCCCCTTCAATTAAAAATAGATCACTCCAGAAGGTTTCTCTTGGAGAAGAATCATGTGTTAGTTTATAGTTAACATCAACTTCATTCCTTAGAAAGTATACTAAGCCAAAGTCCACAGATGATGGTGGAGCATCATGGAGACCCTGAACTTGTCTCCTCCCTGAAATGCAGCTAGGTCAGCACCAAACCGTTTTGAACAACTAGGAAACTGATATGGGGACTAACGCAACAATCTACGTAACTTGAGCCACAGAACTCGGCAGGAACGTGGCATGAAGAGGTGAGCTGGGGTCAGAAAGACTACGGAGGGTAGGGAGTCATTTTCGTGGGAAGAGGACAGAGAGAGAGAGAGAGAAAGGGGAAGAGTGTGGTGCATCAGGATTGCACAAGAAAAGCACACCCCTTGAAAGTAGCTGGAGAGAAAGAGAAAGAGTATAAACACTCACAGGGGACTGAACAAGAAATCTTTTCACCCAAACCATTGATGGGGAGAAAGGAGAGGGTTTCAATACCACTAGGATTCTATAAACAGTGGAGCATAGAGTCTGAAGTTTCGTCTGAACTAGAGCTTAGAACCAGGATAATAAGAATACTAGCTGGGGTTGAAAAAAGCATAGAAGACACCAGAGAATCCCTTTTTGTGGAGAAAAAAAAATAAAATCTAGTCAGGAGGAAATTAAAAATGTTATAATCAAGATACAATCTCGAATGGATGCCATTACAGCAAAGATGGACGAAGCAGAACAGTGAATAAGCGATACAGAAGATAAAATTATGGAGATTAATGAAGCAGAAAAAAAAGAGGAAAACAAAGGCAAAAGATCATGATACAAGACTTAGAGAATTCAGTGACTTATTAAAAAGGAATAACATCCGAATCATAGGAGTCCCAGAAGATGAAGACAGAGAAAAGGCGCAGAAGGTTTATGTGAGCAAATTATAGTGGAAAACTTTCCTAATTGGGGAAGGACACAGACATCAAAATCCAAGAAGCACAGAGAACTCTCATTAGATTCAACAAGAACTGACCATCACCAAGGCATATCATAGTCAAATTCACAAAATCCACAGACAAGGAAAGAATTATGAAAGCAGCAAGGGGAAAAAAAAGTCCTTAACCTACAAGAGAAGACAGATCAGGTTCACAGCAGACCTAACCACAGAAACTTGACAGGCCAGAAAGGAGTGGCAGGATATATTCACCGTGCTGACTCAGAAAAATATGCAGCCAAAAATTCTTTATCCAGCAAGGCTGTCATTCAAAATTAGAAGGAGAGACAAAGAGTTTCCCAGACAAACAAAAACTAAAAGAGTTCATGGCCACTAAACCAGCCCTGCAAGAAATTTTAAGTCAAACTCTTTGAGTGGAGAAAAGACAAAACAAAACAAAACAAACAAACAAAAAACAGAAGCAACAAGGACCAAAGAACATCAGCAGAAACACCAACTCTACAGGCAACACAATGGCACTAAGTTCATATCTTTCAGTACTCACTCTAAATGTCAATGGACTAAATGCTCCAAAGACATAGGGTATCATAATGGACAAGAAAACAAGAACCATCTATAAGTGCTTACAAGAGACTCATTTTAGACCTAAAGACACCTGCAGACTGAAAGTGAGGGGATGGAGAGCCATCTATAATGCTAATGGTTATCAAAAGAAAGCTGGAGAAGCCATACTTATATCAGACAAACTGGATTTTAAAAATAAAGACTGTAACAAGAGATGAAGAAGGGCATTATATCATCAATTAAAGGGTCTATTCAACAAGAAGATCTAATAATTATAAATATTTATGCCACCAACATGGAAGAACCCAAATATATAAATCAATTAATCACACATAAAGAAACTCATTGCTAATAATACCATAGTAGTAGGGGACTTCAACACCCCCACTTACAGCAATGGACAGATCATGTAAGCAGAAAAGCAACAAGAAAACAATGGCTATGAATGACACACTGGACTGGATGCACTTAACAGATATATTCAGAGCATCTCATCCTAAAGCAGCAGAATACACATTCTTCTTGAGTGCACATGGAACATTCCCCAGAATAGATCATATACCAGGTCACAAATCAGCCCTCAACAAATTCAAAAAGATCGAGATCATACCATCCATATTTTCATACCACTGAAATTCAAAATCACTATGAAATTCAAAATCAACCACAAGGAAAGATTTGGAAAAACCATGAATACTTGGAGATTAAAGAACATCTTATTAAAGAATGAATGGGTTAACCAAGTAATTAAAGAGGAAATTTAAAAATACATGGAAGTCAATGAAAATGAAAACAGGACAGTCCAAATCTTCTGGGATACAGCAAAGGCGGTCATGAGAGGGAAGTATACAGCAATCCAGGCCTTCCTAAAGAAAGAAGAAAGGTCTCAAATATACAACCTAACCTTATACCTCAAAGAACTGGAAAAAGAACAGTAAATAAAGCCCAAAACCAACAGAAGAAGGGAAATAATAAAGATTCGAGCAGAAATCAATGATTTTGAGGAAAAAAAAAAAAAACAGTAGAACAGATCAATGAAACCATGAGCTGATTCTTTGAAAGAGTTTACAAAATAGATAAAATCCTATCTAGACTGATCAAAAAGGAAAAGGAAAGGACCCAAATAATAAAATCACAAATGAAAGAGGAGAGATCACAACCAACACTGCAGAAGTATGAACAATAATAAGAGAATATTATCAACAATTATATGCCAACAAATCGGGCAATCTAGAAGAAATAGACAAATTCCTAGAAACATATAAACTACAAAAACTGAAATAGGAAGAAATAGAAAAATTTAACAGAGCCATAACCAGTGAGGAAATTAAATCAGTAATCAAAAATCTCCCAACAAACAAGAGTCCAGGGCTGGATGGCTTTCCAGCGGAATTTTACCAAACATTTAAAGAAGAGTTAACACCTATTCTTTTGAAGCTGTTCCAGAAAAAAAGAAATGGAAGGAAAGCTTCCAAACTCATTCTATGCAGCCAGCACTACCTTGATTCCAAAACCAGACAAAGACCCCGCTTAAAAGGAGAACTACAAACCAATTTCCCTGATGAACATGGATGCAAAAATCCTCAACAAGATACTACTAGCCAAACAGATCCAACAATACATTAAAAGAATTATTCACCACGATCAAGTGGGGTTTATCCCTGGGCTGCAGGGCTGGTTCAATATCTGCAAATCATATTAATAAAAGAAAGGACAAGAACCACATGATCCTCTCAATAGATGCTGAAAAAGCATTTGACAAAATACAGCATCCTTTCTTGGTAAAAAAACAAAACAAAACAAAACAAAACAAAACAAAAAAAAACTCAAAAAAGTAGAGATAGAAGGAACATACCTCAAGATCATAAAAGCCATATATGAAAGACCCACTGCTAATGTCATCCTCAATGGGGAAAAACCGAGAGCTTTCCCCTTAAGGCCAGGAACACGACAAGGATGTTCACTCTCACCGCTGTTATTCAACATAGTGTTGAAAGTCCTAGCCTTAGCAATCAGACAACACAAAGAAATAAAAGGCATCTAAATTGGCAAGGAGGAAGTCAAACTTTCCCTCTTTGCAGATGACATGATACTCTATGTGGAAAACCCAAAAGACTCCACCAAAAAATTTGCTAGAACTGATACATGAATTCAGCAAAGTCTCAGGGTAAAAAATCAAAGTACAGAAATTGGTTGCATTTCTATACACCAATAATGAAGCACAGAAAAAGAAATCAAGGAATTGACCCCTTTTACAATTGCACCAAAACCATAAAATACCTAGGAATAAACCTAACCAAAGAGGTGAAATATATATACACTGAAAACTATACAAAGCTTATGAAAGAAAATGAAGAAGAAACAAAAAAATGGAAAATTTTCCATGCTCCTGGATTGGAAGAACAAATATTGTTAAAATGTTGACATTACCCAAAGCAATCTACATATTCAAATCAAAATAACACCAGCATTCTTCACAGAGCTAGAACAAATAATCCTAAAATGTGTATGGAACCAGAAAAGACCCCAAATAGCCAAAGTAATGTTGAAAAAGAAACGCAAACCTGAAGGCATCAAAATGCCAGACTTCAAGATGTATTACAAAGCTGTAATCATCAAGACAGTACGGTACTGGCACAAAAACAGAAACACAAATCAATGGAACAGAACAGAGAACCCAGAAATAGACCCACAAATGTATGGCCAACTAATCTTTGACAAAGCAGGAAAGAATATCCAATGGAATAAAGACAGTCTCTTTAGCAAATGGTGTTGGGAAAACTGGACAGCAAGATGCAGAAGAATGAACCTGGACCACTTTCTTACACCATACACAAAAATAAACTCAAAATGGATGAAAGACCTAAACGTTAAGACAGGAAGTCATCAAAATCCTAGAAGAAAAAGCAGGCAAAAACTTCTTTGACCTCAGATTCAGCAACTTCTTATTCAACATGTCTCTGAAGGCAAAGGAAAGAAAAGCAAAAATGAACTATTGGCACCTCATCAAAATAAAAAGTTTCGGCACAGCGAAAGAAACTATCAGCAAAACTAAAAACAACCAACAGAATAGGAAAAGGTATTTGCAAATGACATATAAGATAAAGGATTGGTATCCAAAATCTATAAAGAACTTATCAAACTCAACACCCAAAATACAAAGAATCCAGTGAAGAAATGGGCAAAAGACACGAATAGACACTTTTCCAAAGAAGACATCCAGATGACTAACAGACACATGAAAAGATGCTCAACATCAATCATCATTAGGGAAATACAAGTCAAAACCACAATGAGATACCTGATACCGGTCAGAATGGCTAAAATTAATAACTCAGGCAATGACAGATGTTGGCGAGGATGTGGAGAAAGAGGATCTCTTTTGCACTGCTGGTGAGAATACAAACTGGTACAGCCACTCTGCAAAACAGTAAGGAGCTTTATCAAAAAATTAAAAATAGAACTACCCTATGACCCAGCAATTGCACTACTAGGTATTCATCCAAAAGATACAGGAGTGCTGATTTGAAGGGACACGTGTGTCCCAATGTTTATAGCAGCACTATCGACAATAGCCAAAGTATGGAAAGAACCCAAATGTCCATCGACTGATGAATGGATAAAGAAGATGTGGTATATATCTACAATGGAATATTACTCAGTGATCAAAAAGAATGAAATGTTGCCATTTTCAACAATGTGGATGGAACCAGAGGGTATTATGCTAAGCGAAATTAGTCAGAATAAGACAAATATATTATTTCACACATATGTGGAATTTAAAAAACAAAACAGATGAACATAGGGGAAGGGAAGCAAAAATAAGATAAAAACAGAGCGGGAGACAAACCATAAGAGACTCTTAAATACAGAGAACAAACTGAGGGTTGCTTGCAGGATGTTGGGTGGTGGATGGGCTAAATGAGTGATGGGCATTAAGGAGGGCACTTGTCAGGATGTGCACTGAGTGTTACATGTCAGTGACTAATCACTAAATTCTATTCCTGAAATTATTATTATACTATATGTTAACTAACTTCAGGATTTAACATAAAAAAGAAAAACAAATGCAAAAGCTGCAAAAATTTTCAAGTAAATATTTTAGTACAGTAGATTACTAGAAGAGAATAAAAATATTTAGAACTTTTTTATTCAAAAAAAAAGTACACTGAACTAATTTGAGCATATAATTATAAATAGACTATCCACACTAAATGAAGTACAGTATCACTTCACAGGAAATGAAAGTTAACAGTAATTACAAATTACAAAACCAAAAACTACAGCTTTCTTTCTTAATGGGTTCAGAACAACTTTTCTCTTCTTGGTCTAAGTTAGAATGAAAGATCAGCCTTTTGTCAAGTGTTGTGAATCCTTTTTAGCTACAGAAAGAAATTAGTTTGTCAATTCTTCAAAGATATTCCCTTTATCTCAAAATTCTAGCCACATTATTCTTTATACCATGATATATGCTATAGACCTGTAAATAAAAATTAAAGCTATATATGTGAACACCTCGAAACTCATCTGCTATACAGACTGTCTATAAATATTTTTATAGACTTGTCATTTAAAACATGCAACAAATTCTTTATAAAATTTAGCTAACAAGGAAATACTGTTTAAAAATAATCCTTCATCCTACTCACATCACCATAGATTAAAAATATAGCTTGAGATAAATTGAGTTCTATAATGATAGTATTTCTACAACTTTATTAGCTAAGTGCTTCTGGTGTAAAAGATTTTATAGGTAGGAGTGTAGGGATAAGAGGCTACACTATAGTAGTAACCCTCTCTTTCTTAATTTTACTATCAATAAAATGAGTACATGATTGTAGCCTCACCTGTTATCGACTATCTCCAAAGATACAGTAAGAGTCTGATTATGTAAATATAACTTCACATAAGTAGAAAATTTATCTAGGCAACTGAACTACTAATATATTTTCTATACTCATAGAAATGAGGCATTAATCATCAATCATTTTATAATGTTCTATTTAAGTTTAGGCATTGCTACCAGCAGCAATGTGAACCCTAGACTTTATTTATTATGTATAAAATTTACTGAAATCCACGAATAAGCATAGCAGACAAACCCATTAGAAAAATTAAAATTCCCTCAGAGAGTTCCCATTGCTTTAGGGAGCAGATTTAACAATAACGTGAACTTCAGGGATGCCTGGGTGGCTTACAAGGAAGTATAATGTAACGCACATAGCATACTTACAGTAGAATGTTTCCAGAAACGGATAATTTCCTCAATGTCTGTAACAGGATTAAATAAGAAATAGTCCCTCCATTCATTCCAGTCTATTGTCATTGTCCCATCAGTATCAATACTGAAAATAAAAAGAAGCAAATTAAAAAAAAAAATAAAATTTATAAGTAAAACATTATTGGCCATTTTGCAGAATGATAGTTTGTTTTCAAACTCAGTATTCTTATTAAAAAATTCCAGTTCACAATAATAGATTGTTGGAAATGGCAGCAAGTTTTTGATGTTCTGTTAGATAGTTTTAATCATTTAGATAAAGAAGGGTCCCAAAGTTAGAGAGCTCTCACTGAAGACTACTTTTGGCACTGTGTCAAACTCCAATCAGTGAGCTATCAAACACTAAAGCTTGAAGATTAAATATTGGGAGGGAAATGAATAGATTTATGATCTATCTTTTTTTCTTGCACTGGATCAGGAAGATATTCCTTTTTTTGTTTAAAGTGTTTATTTTTTAGAGAGAGAGAGAGAGAGAGAGAGAGAGAGAGAAAGAGAGAGGGAGGGAGGGAGGGAGGAGGGAGGGAGAACAAGTAGAGGAGGGGCAGAGAGGGAGACAGAGGATCCAAAATGGGCTCTGCATGGACAGCAGAGAGCCCGATGCAGGACTTGAATTTATGAACTGTGCGATCATGACCTGAGCTAAAGTCCAAAGCTTAACTAACTGAGCCACCCAGGTGCTCCAGAAAGATATTTCTTAACACTCTGTTAAAATATTTGGATGTGATTTGGGAATATATGCAAAATATTCTATCAATTTCCTTCTCTAACTTCCTCAAAGCTAAGAAAATTAGCAGTATTTATAAAAAAAAAAAATCTAACTTGCTGATTGGGGCTTTTGAATCTTAAGAAATCTGGGTACCTCATCTTCAACATGTAACATTAATATACTGTAGTCTTAGATATTTGTCATTAACTTTTTGCTTGTTTTACAAGTGTCTTCATAGTGTGTCATTTAACCAGCTTTTTCCTAAGATCTACTCTGTTGCCTGCCAGGATTTTGATTGTTTTGTTCACTATCTATACTCAAGACCTAAGTGGCTGGCACAAAGAAGGTGCTCATTTATTTGTTGAATTAATGAATGTCTCTGAAGAAAAGTTTGAGTGTCTCCTCCAAACTTTATATTTATTCTATAATTTGTGTGAAAATGATACATAAAGATGGCAGTCAAATAAAAAGTAATTTTCAGGCATTTATTATCATGTTTTCTAGTGCCAATTTCTAATTTTGACTTCCATGTGTGAAATTATACTTAAACTTTCATTTGTCTCAGCACATGGGTATTAACATTCCACAGGTGCATGAGAGTCCTAGTTACTACTTATGTTTATAACATTGTTGTGGGCTGCAATACTTATAGCCACTATTTTCCATTTTAATGCAATTGTTTATCATCTGACCCTAACCCTCCACCTCCCACACATGCCTTCATAAGTATCTTCCACAAGGCAAAGATTTTTGTTGATTTTGTTCACTGATATGACCCAAGTGTCTGGAACAGCCTAGCAGAGAGAATATTTACTGAATGAATACATGAATTCCAAATTCTGGAGCTTAAAGCCACAGAACACTGATAAACTTACATAAAATAGTCTCATTGTGGTTTAAATCGCATTTCTCTTCAAATCACTAATGATGTCAACCATCCCTTACCATATTCATTTGCTATTCAGGTTTCCTTTTACTTGAAATGCCTGTTTGTCTTTTGCCCATTTTCCTACTACATTAAGTGTCTTTTTCTTTTATATGTACAGTTCTTTATATAGTTGATTCTTATACTTCAAGTTATAAATTAGCAGATACCTTCTCTTTGTTCACTTTGTTTATGGTATCTGTGAAAAGATGCTCTTAATTTTAATATAGCTGAATTTATCAATCTTTTTATTTGCACTACTGCCTTTTGTGTCTTTTTTTTTTTTTTTTTAATAAATCCTTCCTTACATGAGATAAAGACATTTCCTTTTCTTCCTCTATAAGTATTCCCAGTTAACTTTGACATTTAGGTTGATTTTTGTGTCTGGCGTCAGGTAGGTATCCAGTTTCACATGTGTCTGCACGGACAACCAGATGCATTAGCCCCACATACCACATAGTCTCTCCTTTCCCTTTTCCTGTCTTCTGTGTGACAAATCCTAAATATGGATGGGTCTGATTCTGGGATATTATGTTCCACGTACCACCTTGGCTATCTGTGTACCACCACCACTGTCTTAACTATAGCTTAATAACAATCAGTATCTGGCAGAGCAGGTCCCTGCTTCTCACAGCTCTTCAGGAATGTCTTGGTTATTCCTGGGCCTTTGCTCTTTCTTTGGTATAAATTTGATGCTCAGCTTGACAAGTTTCTTGACAAGTTTCAATGGCACTGAATCATTATCAATTTGGAAAAAGGTACAGCTTTTCTGTATCAAGTATTCTAAGAAAAGCCCAAAGCTAATATCATCCTAAATGGGGAAAAACTGAGAGCTCTCCCCCTGAGATCAGGAACAGGACACGGATGTCCACCCTCACCACTGTTATTTAACATAGTGTTGGAAGTCCTAGCATCCACAATCAGACAACAAAATGAAATAAAAGGCATCAAAATTGGCAAAGTCAAACTTTCACTTTTCACAGACGACATGATACTCTACATGGAAAACCCGACAGACTCCACCAAATGTCTCCTAGAACTGATACATGAATTCAGCAAAGTCACAGGGTACAAAATCAATGTACCGAAATCAGTTGCATTTTTATACACCAATAATGAAGCAACAGAAAGAGAAA